GGGGTTGATGTGCTCTTCCCTAAGTGAGAAACATAGTAACGTGGAAGTGGCACTCAGAGTAGACCCCTTTCCAGGAAATCCAATGCTCACTCGTTTATACTCTGACACCTTCCAGGAGGGAGAGCAATAGCTCATAGGGATAAGTCAACCATAAAGGGATTGCTATTACATGCTTTGGAACCTTATTACAAATCTGAGGGTAAATCTCTGGAGAAGTGTGAGAAGCATCACTCAACAGATGACCCTTCAAGTGGTTTTCCTATACCACAATTTCTTAATAATGGCTTCTAACAGCAGGTTAACAAGGATCCTGTGACTTTTGATACAAAAATCTCTCTAAAAGCCTAGATGAAATCTTCTTTAAAGCACATGCATAGAGACACATGGACCATAAATGAAGGTCAGCATTTGTTACCAGAGTCTCAATTTGTTGTGAGACTGATTTGTTTCAAAGCAAAGGAGCAACAGCAATACTGAATGCCATAAGGACCCAATAAGCTATCTGAAAGCATGGAAAGGGAATTAATGCTGTCGTTCCAGGTATGAATCATACATTGACTCATTTTTAACCATAGCAGTCTTATGAATTGGCTCCATCAATCACATTGTCAATAACACACGGTTGATCTGTCCCAAGTGAAGTGGCTGATCAGTGGAATTGAGATTCATTTATCACTCTTGTTTCGATTCCTTCCACCCACTTGCATCACTAAATGAAGTTTGGTGTCAGTGGAGTAGCAGAAGGTCCAGAAGTCCCTTGTTAGGACTAGTCAAGGTGTGTCCAGACTTTTGGCATTGCAAATGACTGTGACTGTGCTCTATAAAGTTGAGTCTTGTTCAAGCTATCCTGGGACACACATGGCCCAAGGGTCATAGGTTGACACATCTGGTTGACTGAGGCACACTAGTATTAAAGGTCCAGATAATAGATATTTTAGGCCAAGAGACAAAACTCGTGATGGTATGTATCTAGATAAATATCGAAACATGTAGAAAGCACTTAAGTTGTGCCTGCTTTGGCAGGACATGTACTAAAGTTGGAATGAGACAGAGATTAGCATGGCCCCTGCCAAAAATGACATGCAAATTCAAGAGGCATTTCATATTTTTTTTCAAAAAAGTACTTATTCCAAAGACCATAGAAAGTAGCATGGGAGATGGATCTTCTATGTGGGCTGTAGTTTGATGGCTCTTGATACAGAGGAAAGCCAGGTGGATGGTTTTCAGTTGTACACACAGATAGTATTCAGGTTAGTTTTTAGCTAGAACTAGTACGAGGCAAGGAAATGTATATGAGGGATACTCATTTAAGATGTATTAGTAAACAAAGCATAAGTGATGGATGAATGAGAATTACAGGGCTGAATATGGCTCTGAGTTTTAAGTTCATCTCCTATATCCAGGAAGTTTTCTAAGAAAATTCTTATTAAAAAAAAAATAGACACACACAGACACGGACACACACACACACACACACAGACACTCACACATGCACACACATACCCTCACACATACAAGCACTCTCACACACATGCACAGTCATGGTCATACACACACACACGCACACACTCATACACACATGCACACACACCCCCACACACTGGCTACCTTTTTCATGCCAGCCACTGCTTCAGATGCTTTAATATATGCAATTTCAGGCAGATTCCAACTAATCACATACAAGATAAACCCAGCTAAGCTATATGTCGGTATTTGTGCTGCTAGCACCAGATGGCTCATAAAGGATATTCTGGCATGTGGGTGAGCAGAGAAAATGTGTTCAATATCCAGTTATTTACAAAGGCCAATATCAGTTATCGTTTCCTAAATACATTTTCTCCTTCGTTGATCTATTTTGTCTTAAGAGATGAGGGCATTTATCTTGTCAGAATTGTTGAGCTAGAATTTGCATTTCTAGAAATGTAAATTTTACTTAAAATCCAAAATTATTCCTTTGGAAAACATCTTTTTTGAGGGAGGGCGAAACACAAACAATATATTTTATGGGGAAAAAAGTCCATGTTAATCAAGGATGCCCATGAGGATTGTATTCTTTCCTGTAACTATCAAAGCAGGCATTTAAAGTAGAAATAGTCGCTGCAGTCCCTAAACTTCATCAGATTTGCCGTTTCTTTTGTTGCCATTGCCATTGATGAGAAAGTGGCCGTAATACTTTAACAGATGATAATGCTCTTCCAAAAAGCTAAGACTGAACTGTGGAATAGGACAGTGTGGTAGCTGGCAGAGCAGAACCTTTGGGCCACCTTTCTAGGTTCATCCTAGTCACCATGGAATTCTCACCGCACTTTATTTTAATAATATGGGGAGTGAATATGTGGCCAACACATGCTCTACAAGTGGTCTACCATTACCTCCCAAAGGTCTCACTAAGGTTTCCAACCTGGCCTTGAACTTGAAATGTAGCCCAGGTCATGAACTTGCAATCCTCCTGCCTCAGCCTCCCTCCAGGCTAGCTGCCCCCACCCCCAGCCTGGGTTCTGGGTACTCATCTCTTTACTCCTCTGGACCTCAGTTCTTACCTGCAGAATAAGAAGTTGTAGATGGGAAATACCTCAGGTACATTCTTGTTAGTCTGATTTAGTTAGTATGAACTTTGGAAAGGATGTTGGGAAATAGAAGTACCCTCAATTTTATTTTATTTTTAAATTTAGTTTGGCCATCTATTATCTCAATGCTACTGCCAAGGGCCAGAAAGCCGCAAATCTGGATCTAAAAAGGAAGATGAAACTGGTAGGGATACAATTTATTTTTTTTTAAGTGTTTACCATCGGTAAGAGTAGAAAATAGCAGGAAATCTAATTTTCCCTTTCTCTCCTTTTTTACTGTGTAGCAAGCTTTGGAGAACAAAATGCGGAACACGAAAATGGCAGCCGCTCGAGCAGGTTAGAGATGTGCTTACATTTAGAATTTTATGTTCCTAAGAGTGCACTTCCTTTCTCCACATGAGGCATCTGATGACCGGTCATCATTGTGAAGTCATACCGCAGTCCCCACCAGCCTGCTTCTCAAGGTTGATATAAGAGAGATTGACTCCTTCCCCGGGGGTGGAGGGAGGGAGAGAAACAGAAAGGGGGAGAGAGAGACAGAGAGAGAGAGAGAGAGACACAGAGAGACAGAGACAGAGACAGAGACAGAGACAGAGTTTACATTCAATAATGTAAACTTAGCAGAGTGGTTAAAAGTGACCTTAATAGTTGATGGAAAGTGATGAACACTTTCCTCTGGTCACACACAAATAGCAAGTCCACTGTGGTCATCTTGACTATGTTTGTATATGGAAGGAAAAATTAAGAAGATAGCAAAGGGATCCACTTCTGAGTTTATCATCGCTGTCAGAAACCTTTTTATTCCATTAGCCTTTGCTTTTATTTATTTTTCAGCACTGATGGCTTAACTCGAGGTCTTGTGCATGCTAGGCGAGTGCTCTGCTACTAACCTGCATCCCCAGCCTTCTTTCTACTTTTTATTTTGCGACAGGCTCTCACTAAGTTTCCCAGGTTGGCCTTTTTCTTACGCACTCTGTAGCCAAAGCCTGCCTTTAATTTGCAATCCTCCTGCGGTGGCCTTTCAAATAGCTAGAGTTCCAGTTCTGTGTGAGCAGTTTGATGAAATTGCTTTTTCAACTTCTTTGATGTTTAAAATAGAGTTGACCCAGCACTTTCAGAAAGTATGCATCTATAGATGCAACCAACGGTCTACTAAAAATATATAGAAAAATAAATTGCACTTGTACTGAGCATGGCATGCAGACTTTTTATTTACTATCTTTATCCAATCATATTACAATGAGGATTTGTGTAACCATGAGGATAAAGTGAGAACTAATCTATCCAGACATGGAGGGATGATTCCATGTTCAAATAAAGGACAACCTTGTTAGCAAAAACTAATGATGGGCCATAAATTCACCACACAGACGCACATGCACAAACACACACACACACACAAATACACACACGTGTATGTGCACACACATGCACAACACGCACTCACAAAGAAATAAAACAACAGCAAAACGATACCAGAGAACTTTATTGGAAATACTTTCCAACTTTTCTCTCATTTCTATCTTTAAAACTCTTTATTATATAGTAGTAGAACACTTTCCTTATGTAATTAAAAACAATTCAACTCATTTATTTAATGAAATACACACACGTGTATGTGCACATACATGCACAACATGCACTCACAAAGAAATAAAACAACAGCAAAACGATACCAGAGAACTTTATTGGAAATACTTTCCAACTTTTCTCTCATTTCTATCTTTAAAACTCTTTATTATATAGTAGTAGAACACTTTCCTTATGTAATTAAAAACAATTCAACTCATTTATTTAATGTTTCAAAAAATTGTATTAATGTGCCACTGAGCCGAATCCCCGTGCTCCCTTTTACTAAGAAATGTTCTTTTTTTTTAAATTTTAGGATGAGGTCTGTGTTGCTCAGATAGGTCTTGAGCTCACTATTGTACCCTAGGGAAGCCTTGAAGTTGTTGACCTCTTCGGTTTTTAATTTTTGTGGAGCATGATCACCATGCGGTGCAGGCACCCTGGTGCACATACATGCGATGTTCTGCTCACCACTCTCCACCTTATTGGGACTTTCCTGAACCCGGGGCTAGACTGGAGGCCAGCAGCCTAGTGATCCTTTTGTCTCTGTCCCCAACCCCCACAGCACAGGGGCCATAGGTGTGCGTGGCCATACTCAGCATCTTATCTGGGTCCTGGAATCGAAATTCAAGGCCTCTTGCTTGCACAGCAAATACTCTTACCCACTGAACCATCTCTCCGGCCCATCTTTTACCTTGATAGTTTACATATAGAAAGTACTCATTTAATTAGTCTCAAAATAATATTCCTCCAGGCTCTGTTCATTGCCTTCTAGAATTCAGAATCACTGTTCAGAAGTCTGAAGCCATTCTGATTAGCCTTCCTTGAGTGGCTATAGTTTTGTATTTTTCTTGTTTGGAAAGCTGTAAGCCCTTCTTCCTTCCCCTCACTGTCCTGAGTTTCTTGATGATGTATCTCCTATAAATCTACTTTTGTTTCTGGCATACTCACCAATGGGCCCTTTCATTCTGGAAATTCATGCTCTTTAATTGCATGGGATTTTCTGGAAATACTTGATAGTGATTTCTTTCCATTCATTTTCTACTTGTAGAATTCCTAGTATCTGGACATTGCATCTTTTGGACCAGCCCTTTAAAATTCTTAGTTTTATTTCTTATTCTGACTTTTTGCTTTAACTATTAATATTTTCTTAGTTTTAATCTTCAAATTTCCTTTTGGTCTTTTGCTTCTGCTATCAGAATTTTAAAAAATATTTTATTTATTATTGTTTTTGTTATGTGTATGAATACATTGCTTGCATGTTTGTAAAGGCACCCATATCATGCACTGCCTGTGGAGGTCAGAAGATGGTGTCGGGTCTCCTGGAACTGGAGTTACAGATGGTTGTTTGGTTCCATCTGGGTGCTAGGAACTGAACCCAGGTCCTCTGTAAGAACAGCCAGTGCTCTTAACCACTGAGCCACCTCTCCAGCCCTGCTATCATAATTGTACTTTTGCCAAGCCATCTTATTATCAGAACAACACCCTGTTCTTTGTTAAAGCAACAATGGCTCATTTTATCTTCATGAAAATATTAATACACTGCTTGATGTTTCTTTGATTTTCATAGTCTCTTTCTCTAAGCTGCTTTGTGTTTTTCCCTCCTCTCCTCATTGGTTTTCACAATCTTTCCTCTGGTGGTTGGTGGTCCTTGGCATGCAAGATACTAAGCAGGGTTTGTGTGCTCTAAGCATATGTGTGGGGTCTATGGGGAGGTTTTCATTGGTGTCTCTGCCTGGGCTCTGCGATGAGCCTCCATGTCAATATCTTCAGGTTTTTCTCTCTGGGCAGATCAGATTCCTCAGTAAAGTCACCACCAAACTTCTGCCTGGAGAAACAGGTTTGCCTAGCCAAACACTGGGGAATGGGACATGGTTCTCAACTTTCAGTTTATCACTCAGGAAGCTGCATGTCTTCACTGTGGCACTCCTGATAGCCATTTTGTAGATATCTTTATTTTACCCTAGGAAAAAAGCTCTAGCCTTCTATCAGGATATGGAAATTACTCGCTGGTGCAAGGTGGGGAAATTGATCTGAGGCTCTAATTGAAATTTTTTGTTGAGACAGGGTCTCATTATGTGGCTCAGGCTGATCTCAAACTTGCTTGCTATGTAGCTCAGGGTAGTCTTCAGCTTGCTATGGAGGAAGGATAACCTTCAGTCTTGAACTCCCAATCTCCTGTGTCAGCCTCACAAATGCTAGAATTGTTGGCAATACCATCACACCAGACTTCTAAATGCCTTCTAGATGGTGGAAGCTTCCTCTGTCTTGGTTCCCCATTTCCAGAAGAAACTGTTGCTGTCAATTCTTGTATCTTTGAAGATTTTTCTGTGTAAATCATGCTGATATTTATATCTTTTTCCTCCACTGACTTAAGATTTCTGCTTTTTCAAACTGACAAGTCACTTGTTTATCTGTCTGCTTTCCAGCTCCCAAAATTACATCATGAGTGCATCCTCCCCTGATCGCTCCCTCTTTGCTGTGTTCAAACTCCTCAAGTGTTCTATTTGGGAGGGAGAGAATTCAGCCCAATGCATTTGCCTCCATAGCCTAGGCAAATTTTCATATCTTGTATGCTAAGAGGAATAATTTTGTTTCTACCAAGTGACTCCGCTCAAATCTGCACACTAGGAAGTGCTCACCTATTGAGATGCAGTCTACATTAGGGGTTTCATAAGCATTGCTCAGTGTTAACAAGAGATGAGAGGTTAGAAGCATCCTGATGTTGCTTCTGCAGAACTTAATGTTAACAAATTAGTGCTTAACGCACTAATGGAAAGTTCTGACTTCTAAGACACAAATTAGCTAAGGTTTGCCAGCATCTTTATGGCTCCAATAATGGTATAATACATAACATATTTATCTAGTGCTTTCCCATAATGTTTGCAGTTACTTAGTAAATGCCTACTGAGTAGCCAATGACAAGAAAGAACTCTTACCTGAAAAATCTGAAAGCAATGGGTTTCTATACTCATTACATAAACTGTAATTATGTTCCAAATAGGTATAACTTTCATTCTCTTGTCTTTAGAATTTGTGAGAACTTCATAAAAGCTAAACACCGTAGTAAAGTGGAACGCATTTGGAAGATACAGATTTCAGGCTGCCTTGTTTAGAACCACTAAGTGCATTGAAAACTAAATTTTCATGGGGCTCTTCTTCATTTCTCCCTCCTGTTTCAAACAGCAGCAGCTGCTGGTGGCCAGTAACTTCCACAAATTTCCTGGGGGCACAGAAGTACTCTTCACCTTCCTGATTAATATAAGGAGCTGTGTGAAAGGCCAGTGAACAAGCCCTGGAGACCTTCCTGTGTTCTACCACGGATGGATTCCAAAGGTCACGATCACCATAGTTCATGAAGGGATCATCAATCCTTGAGCAAGAAGAATTTCTCCGTATTCCAAATGAGGACTTGCTTCAGCAGTGGCACTTTCTTATTTCCCTGATATTTTCTCAAACAAATTGAGTTTAACATGGGCAATACAGGTTACTGGGTATAATTGATAGGTCAACTTTTTTAAAAGTCAGTAAATCCTCTTATGGACTTTCATTTTACACATTTGTTCAGACTTAGTTTTCTTAAATTGGGTGTAGGAATACTCTGATATTTTGGAATTATGTGCATGAAGTACTTATTGTGATCATTCACTGACTCACTCTTTTAATCTGATATCCCCTTTTTTGTGTTGGTCTACCCATGAGACCTGCACCTCACATATGCCTAGGACCTTTGTGTTTGCAGCTGGATTCAGTATGAAAAGAATTAGGCTTTTTAAGAAGAAAAGTCCTCAGTGATTTTGAAGCCTCATCAGTATTGGCTTAAGTCTCTAATCATGAGGAAGTATGTGGTTCTTAGTCAAACTGGATCTTTCTAAGTTAAAAAAAGTAGTAAGACACCAAAAATGACTGCTGTCCAACTAGAGTCTGTGCATTTAACCTCCAATGATCATATTCCCCAAGTTTAGAGTCTCATGGGCTATAGTTATTCTTTGGCTTTTTTTGGATGGGGGCGAGATTAGGAAAACACATTTTTAGGGGGAGCTTTAGTTTTATATATGTTTAAGCATTATTGTTTATCTGAAGTTTGAGTTCACTGAATATAGCACTCAGTACTTTGCTAGTCTTGTCTGTGACTGCAGATGCACCGCCTCACCCACAGTGGTCCCTCTCCAGAACGCCTGTCATTCCTTGCCATTAACGTGCTGTGTTTTGTTCCCATGGAATTTCTCCTTCTCTTTAATCTTCTACTGGTCACAGAATGTCACACTGCCCCCTGACAATTCTAGACTTATTTCCTACGCTCACCTTGTCTAGATTATTGTCCATTCCCAATCATGCCATCCCTCTGATGGGATTCCTTAGACTCAATGTCTTTAATTTGACATAGTATTTGTATTGATTTTCTGTGATTTGTCGTGGCTGTTGATTGTTTCCTGTATGAATGGATCATCTTCTATCTAGATTGTAGCTCTATATGAGAAGGGATCATATCTTTTCATGCTTCATATGCCTGGTATAGTGCTGTGCACAGGTAGGCACTGCATACTGCTTGTTAATTAAATTGAATCAATTTTATTTATAGGAAGTTGTATTAAGAAACAAAAACTTCTGTTAGATG